GTCAACCAAACATTCTGTCAAACTCAGTGGAGCTCACATCCCAGTGGTGCGCTAGTGGACTTCTGAGCTTACCTGGAGGAGCATCAGAGTACTATCATACCTCCTGCCTTGTCACCCTGGGCTTCTTCTAGATTACGGGGAATTTCTGATGAAGAATGTGGAAAAAATTATCACGAATCGAGGGAGATGTCTGCCAGTGCAGCTTTATTCTATAAAACTACACTTTTTACATTTAAAAAATGAATGTAATTTGAAATGTTTGGTAATAATTGGTGATGGTGATAACAGATAATTGCCGGGAACATCAGTAACAAATTGAGAAGATTGTTGTCATTATCTTCTATCTCACTAAAAACATGTATGGACACGTGCATTAATATTAAAACATATATAAATATGTAACATACTCTAAAGGTCTGCCAAAGTAACCTGATGTTAGCAGGCCATATCTAATTGCCATTTCAATATATTTAAACCAACTCTAATGTGAGAAATTTGAAGTGAAATGTTGGTTTTAAAAAATGAGAGTTCACTTAAAACTGAAAACATTCATCTCATTAGAAAAACTTCCAACTGAGAACCATTCTTTTCCCTTTTTTTAAGAACTGATACTGATGCTTAATAAGCTCAAGAAAACTTGCAGGGTAAATTTGTTCAGAAAGAAGTCACATTAAAAATGTTAAAATAATGACGGTTTTATTACAAAGCATTTCCATGTGTATCATGGAGTCACAGCGCCCTCTTTTGGATCCAGAGAGAAGTACATTTACAGATGTGATTTTAAAGCTGTTTAATGTTTTGTGAGTTTTCTGCATGTGTGGATACTTATTATACAAAATAATAAGAGAATCATGTCTTATTTTCTCTTACTGAAGATCAAGTTTATCTTAATCTCCATGTCGGACGTTTTAGTCGTTTAGACATAATTAATCTGGTAAATAGTTCATTTTAAATGTACATTACACTTTACAAAAAAAAGCAACAAATTGTTGAACTACTCCCACTTTCTTTCTCACTCTTCAGAGTTGCTCTTCCTTCTTCTCTCTCAGCCCGTCTCTCAGGTCCTCAGGCTGCAGCAATGAAGAACCAGTCTCTGTCAGCAATGAAAGACAAATATCTATGAGTGAGATTCAGGGTGGAATTGAACAGGAAATGCACTTGTCCCACTGACATTGACCTCGATAGAAAATCTTTATTTAATTTCAATATTTTCCTTTTCCTTGTTTGTAAACTTGCTACATGGTCATAAAACGACATAATTATTACAAAACACTATAGTAAATCGTAGCATTTCCATACTGAGGGATTGATCAGTTCACAATCAGTCAGAAAGACATAAGTAAAGACCAAAAATGATGGCAATAATTGCCAACAATGTACAATTTCAGCAGAGAATTGTGTTTAAATTTGACACTGAAAACCAAAACGTTTTGACACTTTTCCTTTGTTGTTGTAGATGTTTTTGTCCATAGTTTGGGCTTTGAGTTCAAAGACTAAACGTCGTCTCATGACTCACATCATACGCTTACTGTGTCCCAAATGAGGTGCCGGATTGTATGAAGAACGTCGTCCAGGGTTGGTCCTTCAATAGAGATGAAGGCCAAGCTGAGCCTGCTCATCCTCCCCAAACCAGACAGTCTAGCCACACAGTGTGTCTTTGTGAACGTGTAAAGTCTAACATTTCTGAGTTTAAGTTCCATGAAAAGCTAAGGCAGGTTTTGGAATGCTTGATATTTCAGTACAAGTTGTAACATTTCAGAAGGACATGATGTACTGGCAATTACATGAGGTTACCGTTAATATAAAGCTTGAAGAATATGGTTGTTTCTTTCAAATCAGACAAAGAAAGCCATTTTTGGTCTGCTTGATTGGCTCGAGTGTGCAGAATCTCCTCCAGTACTTGCTCATCAGTGGACTTACCTGATTGGCAGTGGTTGATTGGCTTAAATGGAACGATGATCTGGATATAGTTTACTACAGAGTTTGGTGTAATTGATGAAAAAGACCCTTTAACCTCATGCTCTTCATCAACCTAACTGAAGTTCTGTGATGTCATTCCTGAAGCTTTAAAGTGTATCGGAGGTTATCATAAGACAACTAAGAGTCGTAATTGCCATAAAGAGTATAAAGAGTATATGTATAAAATATTAACCTTAAGAAAATAAAAACGTCTGCACTACTGCAAAACTACTGCAATAACAAAAACACAAACTAAATCTGTGGAATCTTTAAAAGGACAGAAACCTGTTTATGTGCCATTAAAAAAATTAGCAAAAAATACGTATTGATATTGAGCTTGAGGCCCTTTATCCCGCAATTATATCTGACACCTTTTGAGTCTATTACCTCAACAGACCTCTTACCTCTGATTGTCTGTAATAAATCAGCAACCGTCAGCACAGCAGTGATTCACCCTTCCACAATAGCCCTGCTGCCTATCAACAAAGGCAACGTGTCTTCTCTCTGCAGGGGGGAGAGAGAGAGGGGGACAGGGAGAAAGAGGACAGTTAATATACTTTATTATAATGAGTAAAGTAACTCAAACATGATTTACTGATTACACTTTGTAGCTCTGTAAACTAATTTCAATATTTGGGCCTTTCCACACTGAGTGGTGAAGTTCAGCACCACGGAGAAGGACACACTGCGTAGAGACATTCAGCACCAAGGAGAGGGGCATAAAGCTGGAGCCTTTTAAAGGTGCCATGAGGTGCTTGAGGTGTATGTTAATGTAGATGGGGTAATTGTTGCATGTTGCTTTTCCTGTCAATATTTTACCAAACGTATATCCTGTATATCTCCAATTGTGCTAAAAACTACAAACTTAACATGTTGTCTTCAAGCAGCCACAAGATGCTACAGCAATTATTACAATCGTCACACAGAGGTATTGGAAGAAAGAACGTGTTCAAAATTGACTCTTTGGCCTGAAGCTGGTGCTACATGGGAGCTCAAAATGTATCTAAAATGAAAAAGATCCGTTCACTGGGGAGCATGAATGTGTGCATTTCACCACTGTGCAGCAACAGTATAGTGTTATCAAATTCATTCAATTATATTCGTGATGAACATGGTGTCAACTTCTAGTCACACACTTAAATAATGCACTAAATAGTATTAAAAAGGGAAACATTTTAACAGTATAGTTTTTATAACAACAGTTTTTAAGGATTTACTTCATTCCTGCATCTTATACTGTTCTAAAGCACTTACTATTCATAAACAAACAATCAACAATCCTTCATGTAATTAATATTTACTGAGAATTTAACACTCAAACACTCAGCTGTTATGTTTCAACAGGATTGGGTGGGTGTGGTTTGATCAGATGCCACCCACAGTGCTGGCAAAAATGAGCACATTTTGTTTCTAAACTGATTGGTGCACAGAAACACGTGACATCACCTTTTTTTTTAATCAAACTAAGCCCCGCCCCATTCAAACCAGGAAAAAGAGCACAGATAAAAGCACAACTCCAGAAGTCTCTGACCAAAACTGCTCTGACTTTGGCAGGAACAGTGGTGTTCGTGTGTAGGACCCCAATGCAGAATGAGAGAGGGAGATATATGGCGGTGATTGCATAACATTTATGCTGTCACTATGGAATTACTGTAATCCAAACACATTGAGCTATGTTGTACTTGTCAGTATGTTTTCTCTTATACTCACGGATATATCAGCTACTGTAAACAGTGTTATAGAAGGCATCCCTAGAGACTTTAAGGTATCCAAATTTGAAAATAGAATTAGTTGTGTCATTAAGCAATCTAGTAAGCAACAGTTTGGGGCTATTGGAGGTGTATTCTTCTTGTGTCCATCCACAAAGCATTCCGAGCCTACAGGCCTGGTAGATGAAATAAGTGGACTATGATTATGGCTTCTTGATGTGGAAAGCATCTACTTTGACAGTGAATTTGGAAGCTCTCTCTTGTTGTACAGTCAGCAGTGTTGTATTATTAACCACAAACTAGCAAACCGCCCATTCCTCTTCTTCCGCCTCCATTACTACTATAATGGCTTAATGTTTTCAAACCACTCTTCTAAGTGCCTCTTGCCTTTTACTTTTCCTCTCTTCCTGTCTTTGCATAACTGCCTCCTTCCTTCCCTCAGCCCTCACTTTCTCTAATGCTCCTCTCCTCTTTCCTGTACCCTGCGTGGCATCAGCCATTTTTTTCCCTGAAAAATGAGATTATCAGTCTGCTCGGAGGAATTATTGAGTCTTCTCCATATCCCTGCATATACGCTAGCCTCTCTCTTCACCTCCCTCCTTTTATCAAATGCACATCACACCCTCTCTTTGCCTCCAGTACAAATTGTAGAGACGGATGGTCAGGTGAGGGGTGAAACCTGTGACCACGTTAGTGTTTGCCTATTTTTTCCCCCCAGTATCCTCTCCTGCTGCCTCTCATCTAGGCAGGATGGATAGAGGAACGGAGTAAAGGAGGGAGGTTGAGATGGCCTCTGCTTATTTTTTTGTTTGTCTGCACGGCAGCCTAGTTCCTCTGAGTGGGGCCCTCCTCATCCTTATGACCCTATAGGGTTAGGTTATTTATCAGAAGCTTATGTAACATGCAGATATTGGATTTTGCTACTGATTCTTCACACAAATCTTGAAATAGAATCCTGAAATAGTTGTTGTTGTCATCTTGCATGCATTTCATGGGCAGGTGGCATGGTAGCCCCTTCCATCAGTGTGTGAATGGGTGTAAATAGGTGAATGATGACAAGTGAAATATGACAAGTAGTGTGAAAACCGTTTAGAGTGGTCGGAAAGACTATACACATACAGTCCATTTACCTCACACACCAGTAACAAATTAAAGTGTGTTAGTTGGGCCACCATGTTTATACTTTGTCATGTGAGTCTGTTTGATTTTGAGCTTATTTGTTGCTCTTTAGTGTATTTATTATTTATAGTAAGTTATTTGTTTTCAACCTATATGTGAGGAAGAGACATCCTCCCTTTTATCCCAGTGGCTTCCTGTCCTGCCCTCCCTCCTCCGCCGCCAACGAACCGACAACCAGGAGATCAACCGTCAACCAGGAGATCAACCGTCATAAGGCTACAGACACTGCCAGCCATGTCCTGCCTCTAAATCCCCCTTAAAAAATATATTTAGCATTTTAATGCACACAACAAGAGCCGATTTGCTACTCCTTTTTTAAACATATTATATTTCAAAAGCGTCGTTGTTTTTGTATTTATTAATAAGGAGAGAACATGTCTTCCCCCGCGCAGGAAAGGAGGTCTGGCGTTCAGCTGCTGAGCGCCGCGCTGCTGCTGCTGTTCTCGCTCTCCGGTAAGAAACCAAAACAGCCAAACCGATCGATGCTCCGATACATTGATACGCGACAGTTGGGATGATAGCGCCCGCAAACCGCTACATCGTTAGGCCTTTCCCTTCATATCTGACTGTGTGTGCGAGTGTGAGTGAGTGTGTGCAGGATGAGAGGGAGATAATGGTTGTAATTCGAGATAATGTCGGTTAATTGTCATCCCAGCGTTTCCCTAGTTTGACAGAAGCCATCCATTAATAAAACCAGACTGTTGTGGCTTTCTTGGACGGCTTTTAGCGAAACTGAATTCTGATCTGTTGTGGTACTTCTGTCATTACTTATTTCCCCCCTATACGAATCCATTTAGCCTCTGTTGACATATAAACCAGTGCCCTCGCGCTTCACAACCTTTAAACAGGGTTTTGGATGCACCATATAAAAATAAATATTGGCTCAGTCTGCACACAGGATGACAGTGTAGGCTGCACAATAGGTCTCAGTGTTGTGAGTGATGGCCAGAAATAGTCCTGTAATGAGGCGCTAACACTGTGCTGTTGATATTTATGGGCCTTGTATTCAGTAGCAGACATGCAATACAAACCTACTTATGGGGTCATCTAAATATTAGTTTTTGGGATTTATATAAACACAGGAGGGAGCAGATGTGCACAGCAGGACAGCCAATCCAAACCTGTTTGTGATCATTTCCAGATAAAAAAGATAGCCGACAGATCAAAACACGCTTCCACACAATATGGCCCACATCTGATCACGAGGGTGGATGATCACATGAGGCTTAAATATGGATATACAATCGAAAGCCAACCTTGTCCATCATTATACAAGCCAGTGCTGTGGTGATGTATGTCAGCGTTGAGCTTGTATAACTTACCTTCCCTTCCTGCTGCTTACTCAAGTTGCAATAATAAACGCTACAGTAAAGCCACTTGGTGTCACTGGTAAATGTGCAACATGTATGTGTGGCACACTAGTAAAACTCAACACCTCCAAGGCGAGGTTTATGAACCTGAGCAGGACACAGGTTGCGAGGATGGGTCATCCAATCAGTTAGGGAGAGGAGGGTAGTTTAGAAAGAGGCTGGATCACTATCTGAAGGATTAGCATGGTTGAATGTTTATTTGTACAGTTGCTCCTTTCTATCTCATTTTAACAGGATGTAGGTTCTGTGCTAAGGGGGGAAAAATGTAAGATCATTGCATTCCTCTTTAATTCTTATTTACCCCACTGTTTGATTGTCAAAATGAAAAAATATTGCATAAAATAAATCTTGTGTGCTGCCTTTCAGAAGAACACCGTCAGGCTAACAACACGTTTGTCAGTATTCCTGTGGACTTCTGCTGACTTGTGAAGCTGCTGCAGTTTCCCACTAATATTCTTTCTGCCCATTATTGTTTTAACTTTACTCAGCAACCCCACAATTACAGTTCCTGCAAAGACGCACTAGATGGCAGCAGCACACTGCAAAGACAAGGCATCTAATATTAATGCACTTGCATGGACTAATAGCATTATTACATTAGAAGCGTCAAATTACCACAATTCAGTCAAAACTTTAATGTAACAGCAATGCATTTAGTTTTCTGAGAGAAAAGAAAATTCAAAACCGACCCTAACGATAACTGCTACGAACAGTGGCTTTATAATTGAGGCCAGCAGGGAGATATTTCTATAAAAGGGGTAAGGGAGCTCCTTGTGCTTTTCTAATTAACAGAGAATCCTGGTTTAAATTACAGCAGAGCCTTTAAAAAACAAATACAAATAAAGGAAATAAAAAGACCACTGAATTTGCATTCGGTGGACCTACATTTTCCATTAACTGTTCCTTACTTTCCCAAATACAAATAAATGAGTTTTAGCTTTGTCTTGCTTCTGAGTATTCTTTTTTTCTTGAAACACTTCAACAAGAATCATTCATGACAGTGTTTGTCACAGTCACCATGACATTATTTATTTGAATTACAATGTATGTCATTCTGACATAGTATCATTTTATCCTTCAGCCTAGAATTAGATATTAAATAATAATAATCCAAAGATACCCTCCCTCTCCTGATTTTGCATCGTGACATGGTCCAACAAGCGTTGCCAATGACGTGACAATGTAGCAAATCCTCCGTAGTTGACAAAGAAAGTAGCATACAATTGAATGAATATGGCATTTATGTTACCCTTTAAAAAAAAACTTAATTTACCTTAACTTATATATCTTCCTTCCTATTGAACTATCAGTGCTTTTTTCTGTGCAGTTCTATAAGTATGTATACCTTGGCATCCCTTTGGAACACATAATTAAAACCTTTATTATTGTTTGTAATGCAGGAGTTAGAATTAGTGAAATAAATTACTTTAGAAATATATTTTGAAAATGTATGACGGCTGCTGATGTTTCCTTATTTATAAGATGTTAAGATGGACCCAGTGTTTCTCGTCAGATTCCTGTCCAGAAGCTTTACCTTTGTTTGGTGAACATGTGACCTTAACTGATCTAAACCATGTGAATAATGTTTAACACTGCCACCATTCCAAACTGCTATGTACATTGATCTCTGTATCTATTTACTTACATGTTTCTGTGTTTTATGTCGGTGTTTTTTGTTTGTATCTCCTGTAGACTCCATTCAAACCCTTTAAGTGCTTCTTCAAAGTTTCAGCATACTGTATCTTAAAGCACCCAGACTCTATTATGAGTAGACACGACTGTCAATAATGCATAACAGTGAAAGAGTGGAGGGGAGAGGAGGACAAGGAATAGAAAGTACCTTTCAACTCCGGTCAATATATTTCCATCAATAGTACTGGTGATCACAGAAGACTATGGGCTTGTGCAATAATTACGCCTGCAACACTGCAGTTCAATAAGGTCAGTGTCCTGGATAATGTGCTCCTGTCTGTGCTGATACAGTAACCTATCCCACAAAGACGCTGCAGACCCACACATGTTTTTGTTCATTACTTAATGGAGCTCTGGGGCCGATTGCTATCCCTGTCTAGTCATGACATAACCGGAGAAAAGCTTCTCCATCCGTCAGGTTTCTCCAGAAATGAATGTATTGACTGCTGACTGCTCCCCCTTTTGTTACCTGAGTGTGGAGTGCTGCAGTGTGCAGAATGCAGTGTGACTTTCTCCAAAGCAGGGGGCACTAGAGCTAAGTCCTGCAGCACTGAGTCAAAAGAATCAAAACCTAACAATACCAGACTTATAACAATTTAAAGGCAGCATGCTGGAGTCAGCATATCATCCACAAAACATCTGTAGGCTTTACAGGCTTTGCGCAGTAGTGTTTAAGTTGCAAACTCATGATTCACTTTTACGCCAATGCCCCTTTGGTGTGTTGAGAGGCAAAGGCATAAAAAAATACTTACCCGAATACCCAGAATCTGCTCTGTGCTGGCTGAGTGATGCTGACCAACCTCTTACTGCCATCTTCAATTGTAACACTTATCAAACACAAGCAAGTGTTCAGATGCCAAGCAGCAGCAGCAGCAGAAGAAGATAAGCACGTAACAAGTAATGTCTGGACCCACTAAAAGCAACTTGGAATTAAATAATTGTTTTTACCAGCAACCAATCTATCTGGACTCAGATTAGATGTTATGGTCTAACCAACCCCTCCATCACCATTAAGCCAATATTGCCCTGGAGATATATAAGGAATTTACAAGTGCTCCCGGTTATAGTTCTTTGTAGAGGCTTTGTGGTGAACTAAGGAGGTGGGGATCAGAGGTCAGACCCTTAAAAAAAAGCATCAGAGCCCTCACTGACGCTGCCCAAAGCAGAAGAGTAGAAGAGAGCCAAACTATCTGAAGGACGTCGTGTAGAGTTGCATAGCCCTCTGTAGAGATTTGGTTCCTTTGCAAAGGTTTCAAGAAGGAGGGTGCCCAGTTACTAACCCTAAAGCGTCAACACACTCAAGACCAGTATTTACTCCAACAAATCACTCAGGACCAGCACTTCTTAAACCCTAGATCCAGTTACAACCACCTTCAACACCAACATAAGTGAGTAATACTTTTAGAGATTGCACAACTGGGTCCTAGTGTATGATCATCATGGAGCGACTGTGGCGAAGTGGATAGCAGGGCCGTCCTTCAATCAGACGATCGGCGGTTCGATCCCCTCCACTAGTTGCCTGTTGTGTCCTTGAGCAAGACACTTAACCCCAAAATTGCTCCTGTAGCTGAGTCTACGGTGTAGAATTGTGATAGAATCTGAATTGTAAGTCGCTTTGGATAAAAGCGTCTGCTAAATGACTGTAATGTAATGAAAATGAGAGCCTCTAAATACTGAGCTGAAACCCTTTGTGCCCTTCAAGCAGCTTTACATCACTTTCAGAAGAGACCTTCAAAAGGTGTCTGTGGTTTTGTCAAGCTGGTCCTCGGCGGGTTCCTGCTCAGACTAACTTTGTCCATGCCATCCCACAGATGCCTAATTGGATTGAGATCTGGAGGCGAAAGAGTTTAGTCTAGTCCAGGCTACCTTAAAAAATATATTCACTGTAATATGTATTGAACCTTTCCTGACTCATCCAAGGATTGTAGTTTTGGGAACCATTATTCCTGTTGAAATCAAAAACATTTGTGCATACTGGTTGACAATGTTGCTTAGATAAGTTGTGGTGCCTCTCAGTTGGCCACAGCTTTCTTTTTTATTTATTTAATGCAAATTGGAACAGTGTGGGCCTCATTACTATTCTTGTGGAAATATAAGATGTACACTCTTTAAGAGGTTGTTCATACAACAACCATATATACAATCTGTTTGACTACTTCTTTTACCCATCAGTGAGTCAGGCAGACAGCCTTTCCACTCTAATAAATTAAAACTGTTATTTTTCACCAATACACACCTCTGCTGTGAATAGTGATGTGTGCATATACGTGCAGCCCAATGAAAAAATGACGTAACAGTCCTACCTACGTTTTACCTTCTTTTTTTTCTGCATTGACCTTGTGGGAGTAGGGAACAATGGAGGGAAATAGAAGTGCGTAAGAGAGAGAAGGCAAGGGGGGGGAGACCGGAAATTGTAATTTTGAGGGTAGTTATGGGGTCGGACGGAGGATAGTAGTAGGACAGAGGCGTGAGAGAAGGCAAGAGAGGTGGACGAAGATGGGAGAGGAAAGAAGAAGGGGCAGAGGGAGGGAGGAATCGCATGAGGCTGCTTCACTGCAGTATTTCATCTGTTAGCAAGCCTCTGCCTCTCTCCGTCTGCATCTGCCCCTTTCTCACTATCCATAGGACTGCTGAGTCAGCAAGAGCCTGTATCAAACTGTTTCTCACACTGCGTATTTGTGTATGGGTTGTAGTCGTGCGGTAGGCACTGTAACTGTATGGAGCGCGCACGTGTGGCTATGTGTGTGTGTCTGTGTCAGTGACTTTGGTGTTTAAATGTGTTAGCAGTGTGTACAGATAGGTCGTTGTGCTGGGATGACATTGACATAGCACAGCTAGCATGCCTAGCGCACTGCTGACAATGCACACATGAGGTTGTGTGTCATTGTGTGTGTGATTGTGTGTAATAGGAAGGGAGAGCAAGAAGCAGCTGCATTACAAGACACCTGACTGGTGAACGGTGCGCATGGAAAACGGTGTGTGTGTGTGTGTGTGTGCGTGCGTATGTATGTAAATTATACATACGGTGGGTTGGAGATGCAGAAATTGCATGTGTGTGTGTGGGGGTGTGTGTGGTGCAGAGAGGCAGGCCTGTGGAGTGGTGCAGCAGCAGTGGGAAGGGTGCCAGAAACACCCGACTGCAGAGGAAAGAATGGTGCAGAGTCCCATCACACACGCGCGCACACAAACACACACATACTGACTGAGAGGCACAGATTCTGTCTGGGGAGTGTAAGCCCATGCTTAAGACGTAATGGTAGAAGGGAGGAGGAAACCTGAGGAAACTAAACGATACTTTAATTTCATTTCAAGTTCCATGATATGCAGTTATATGCTTTTTTGCTTTCATTTTAGAACGTCGAAATGTAGAATATGGCTTACTGCAGCAGTCTAAATGTATATTTAACATACTACTGTGCAAGTATCATGATCATGAGAGCCAATAAAAGGCTTTTGTTGCCTTTCAGTGTTCCATAGACTGTGCTATCCTGCCATCCCTCCTGATAACTTAATCAACTGCAATGATAGTAATGACTTTGAATACACTTTGATGCCCACACTACATTAGTGAAATTGATTTAATCCATTTAATTCTACTGTTTTCATGAGGTCAAATGTGTCGATGCCAGATCACGGTTCCAAAAAATCATCATCCCCCAGTTTCAACAAAATCATACCGGTGATAACTGAGAAATATTACATTTGATGCCATCAGTCCACTATATTTGACTGTTCCTTTAACATTAGCCATCATGATTTGCACAAGTACTACATGAATATAAAACAATAGAAATATTATAATGCTATTTCATTAATAAAGTGTTAAACCTGCTTACAATGAGGAGATGCCAAAAACAACATATCTTGCTTCCACGACACTAACTATCTCTATTATTCCATTCATGGGGTTTGACATAATTTAGCTTTATTACAGTGTATTCAGCGTAGCCATATTCAAGTGGAATAATGCCATTCCACAGCTACCCGCAATCAAGCTCTTCATTCAATTATCACAAATGACAATTTTTAAAGCTAAGATCCCTGTGTTTCAACATGGATGTCACCTTCTGTAGCAGCAATAGATAACTGAAATAATGTGCAAACCCTCAACAAAAATAGCGATGTTGTTGTGGAAGCTTATGTGGAAGCTTTTTTACTCTCTAGACAGAGCCGCTGCTTGGAAATTGCAATAACTCCATCTAAAGAGGCATATGCTGTGGATTTAAATGGATCAAACAAACATGCTGTGAGATACCACTTTCTGTTTGCTGTCTATGTTTTAGAGTTTACTTTGCTGGAGATGTTAATACAGAAGACATATTGTTTGATCCGCAATCACTTTGCTAGACAGCGCAGATGTTTTACTCGCATTAACGGCATTATTAACACTGGTGTTGTTGTTATTTGCAGGTTGTTTGAGCATGGATGTGATCATGCCCGGTAGCATTAATGCACTGAATGGAACAACTATCAAAATCCCCTGCACATTTACTTCCTGCTATAAGATGGATCCTAACAAGTTTGTCATGAACTGGACCTACCAAGAAACACTTAATGACACAGAGGAGATGGTAAAATGGCTTGTCATTATGCTAAACATCTACAACTACAACTATAGGTGTCTACATTTGAAAAGTTTAAGCCTGTTATGGACACTCTCTCTCTCTCTCTCTCTCTCTCTCTCTCTCTCTCTCTCTCTCTCTCCATAGATTATGATGTACCATAAGAAAAGAGGAATGGTGCCTCTGCGCTCGGACCGGTTCGGAGATAGGGTCAAGTTTGCCGGGAACCCGGATAAGAATGACATGTCAATCACTCTATCCAATGTTCAGATCGAGGATGAGGGGCATTACAACTGCAATGTGATAAACCCCCCAGACCGCATCCAAGGACATAATGGCTTACAGCTCAATGTTGTTTCCGAACGTAAGATACTAAACCTACACTTTCTGAAGATACTACACTGCATAAATCATAATCCTTGCCATAAAGATACCCACAAACTGCATCTCTCAAACCTTCAAATTTACCCCTCGGCTACCAAACGTACATGCAGTATTCAGTGCTAAACCAAAATGTATATTTTCAAGGGAGAGTGCTGCTTTAAAGAAACATTCCTTGTGTCAAGTGTTAGGGCTAGATCTTGCTATCGAAGATATTACTTACAGCTGCAACAGCAGGGACAGCTGCACTGCAAACTGATAGCCCTTGTGACTCATTCATATTGTTATAGTTGCACCACAATATGGCTAAAAACACTGACTTTGTAGGTTGGCGCAGTAAGCTATGCATTGGTATATGTTGACAAAAACAGACTTTTGAAATGCTGTAACAGAAAGAACCTAGAATTTGGACTTATTAATGACTTTTCTTCTTATCGTGAAATACTGTATTTGTTGTCAAAAGTGGCGTAAAAGTTATCATTTGCTTGCGTTTTGCATTGCACTGAGCTCTCTCTGCCACTGTTCTTTAATGTTGCTAAATGCCATACAGTGATCATAAATAACACACTGTGTGTGTGTGTGTGTGTGTGTGTGTGTGTGTGTGTGTGTGTGTGTATCCTGGAGTGTGAAGACCTAATGGTGATGAGTCAGCTTTTTACTTATTAATGACCAACAAGAGGTTGAACTTCGTCCCTCAGCATCTTTTTCGCACCCACACACACTCTCACACACGCACATGACCCTGGCTAACTCAGCAGCACTTTCTTTCTTTCCACTCTGTTTAATCAGCCCAGTAAAGCTTTTAGCCAGCATTGCACTTGTCTCCATCCTTTGTCTACAAACTATTTGACCCTTTATTCTCCTCTCCTCAGTTCCCCCTCCAAGGGATTCGACCATTGCAGTTGCGATTGGGGCATCAGTGGGTGGAGCATTAGCTCTGCTGATCCTTTCCATGGTAGTAGTGAAATGTCTTCGCCGACACCAAAAACAGGAACTGATTTCAGAAGAGAAGATGGAGGAGGAGGGAAAACTGGAGGCTGAGGGTGTTGCAGAGGAGGGAATCAAGTAAGAAATCTCCCCATAACATCCTAAATCTTCAAGTAGTTACTATAGCAGAAGCATCAAGATGCAGAAGCATCAAGAAAGTGTGTCTCGTTTGAAATGACATATGAACATCAGCAGCATACCGACAGTCACCAGCAGCATACCACTAGGAATCAATATGCCAATGAATTAAGAGTTGTATATTATAGCCGTTTCGGCACTTTGTGATCCTACATTTAACTTAAGCACTTTTTAACACCCGCATTATTGTGTCCATAAAACCTAAATTCTACAGCCCAGTCATCGGCAAACCCAGCGTATGGGTGGGCCCCAGGGGGCCAGGCTGACCCCCAACCAAGAGAAAATCAGGGATGATGATGATCTTTGTTAATTGATGTGCATTATCCAAATGTTTGTTATATATTTAATTATCTTGCAACATTAGGAATATCAAAGTGAAGCTTGAAAAAAAGAAATGTTTGTGTTTGACTGTGAGATAGTCCTCGTAAAAACAACAGCTTGTCAAAAATGAAACGGTGTTGGAGTAGAGGAGAAATGGAAGAGCGCACAGATTTGTTACATCAGAAACAATGTGAGACTATATTACTTTGCATTTAATAAGGTGCCAGAGTGCTTAAAAAGCATAAAAATATAGCTTGTTTATCAAAATATTCCCACGGGAGGATCCCCCGGACTCCCCTGTATTCCAGGTTAGCCCCATGTTGACTTGTATACGTCTGCTGGTCCAAACCACGTCCACACATTGGCAGCACCCCCCAGAAGATAGCTGCATTTCGGTTAATGACCTCACCTATGGTGTTTCCAGATAAGTGCAAAATTCAGACACGTATGCTGCATATTAATAGGGACGATGTGCTGATGATTATATTATCAGCCTTATCAATACACTCACGTGCTGGCACTGCCTATTTTGTTTACATTAGGCCCGCACACGGAAATAAAATGCCTGTGGGGATTTATGCATCCCGCCCGGTCTGGTCACTGGTCTTTCTTCTGTATGGACTAGTCAATCGTACAAACATCTACTCCTACTCCTAAAATTACTGTATGCTGACATGCAGTGTAACAAAAACACACATGTTTTTAGCCTATTTTGAAATGTGTTAAAGTGCAGGTTTACAGCATGGTCCTCAGTCTCTGTCCAAGATGTAATTCGTACAAAAGAAAAAACACACAGCTCAGACATAACTCTGTCTTTGTCACTTTAACTACCCTCTTCTCTCCTGTAATTGGATTACAAACATCAAACCTTCTCCCTCTATTGATGTTGTCGGGCATCTCTTGGCTTTTATTTATAGACAACCATAGCTGGGTCATCTGATTGAACCAGCGGCCGGTGGAGCTCTCACCCCCAACACCCCCTCCGGTAAATACCTGCTCATGTCACCCAATCTGGACTGTTGTCGTCTGTCATCAACACCATGTCTGCTACAGAACTTGACATGGACCGTATCGAGAAAAATATGAAATACAACTAATCAAATAAATAAAAATCAAAGTCAAAACCAGACTGACAGGACACTGCTCTCTTTGCATGTTACATAATACATTAAGAATTGCAATTAGTAGAATTGCAGTAGCCAACAGAACCACAAACGTATTTATCCCTCTGTCAAAAGAGGACTGTGGATGTGCACTGTGTTAAAAAAAGAAACGCTTATACAATATGTGTATGCATGTGTGCAAGCGTACAGGTTCCTTTGTGTGTGTGTTGTGTGTGTGTTTTGCCCCAGATCTCTCTACCTGCTGGCTTCATCTCGAGAGAAGATTTTTTTTATTGGGGCATCTACCAAGAATATTACAATCATCGGTCAAATATTGTTCATTCTCTTCTCCTCTCTTTTCTTTCAGACATAAGCACTCCCTACCTGAAGATCTATAGTAACCACTGCTTGAATCATTGTCCACTGATACTTCCATATCTTTTGCGTGTGTGTGTGTGTGTGTGTGTGTGTGTGTGTGTGTGTGTGTGTGTGTGTGTGTGTGTGTGTGTGTGTGTGCGTGGTGGTGGTGGTGGTGGGGGGGGGCTGAATGTGTCTGTGTGAGTGCGTATTTCTATATGTCTGTGTGAGCTGCGTCTTTTTCCTTGAAATAAGCCAGGGAACTTACCTGCTAAACACATGCTACTTTTTATTCATAGCCACAAGTCAACTTCAGGGACTATCTCACAATGAGTCAATCTCTCAATAAGGATTGGAATTTTCATCACACACTAATAGGACATGCAAGGGCTGGGCGGTATGACCTAAAATGTATACTACAATATAGTACAGTACAATATCACAGCGTCACAATATCTAATTTTATTGCCTGAAGTTTATTATATAATGAATTAACTATTAATAACGCTATGAGTGGCTGGGGAGGCAGAGCTTCATACTGCAGACTGCACAGCAAATGTTGTGTGTGTGTGTGTGTGTGTGTAATGGTAAATTGTTCAGTTTCCACTCTTTCAACTGCTGCAGTTTAGCTTTGAGAATTTTGGAGGGTGAAATGTTTTGGTTTAACATCCTATGAACCCAGTGTCTTTCAACTCTGCCTTAAATGCATCTCTCAGTATTGGCACCATGCCTTAATTAACATGCACAGTTGCATGTGTTATCCAGAGAGAGAGAAAAAACATTCCTCATACCTGCGTGGATGTTTTCCGAGCAAAAAAACATCGCCCTGCATCGTCAGCAGAATCTGATTCTGCACTCTGCTCAACAGACCTTTTTCACAGCAGACATTTTGACTTCATAGCAGGAAAAGCACAGGTGGTACTAATAAAATTAGCGAGAGCGCTGCTCTATTCAAGTGCCCCTGCAGGTCATGACAGTAGCTGTGGTTTTTATTTTGCATTTTTAAGTTGTTGAAATTACAGCCCCATGACATTACCACTGTCAGTGGTAACACAAAATGATGATGATTAAGTGTCTGAAATTTCAGTTTATTCTCACTCACCGCTCACCATAGAATACACAATTGAATGTCTATTATATACGGAGTAGTGAATGAATGAGGGAGCGATTTCAGACACAGCCAGGGTGACAGTGAGCCAGCATGAACAATACCAGGACTCTGACACTGAAGCACCGAAATGGAATTCAGCCATCATTATGTTGTTATTTACACCTGGGATTTTTCTATTGTGACATGTCAAAATGTCTTCTGTGAAAAAGGGCTGCACTGAGTAACATGCAGTGAGTTGAAGTGATTATTTAAGAGTACTTTATGCAACATAAAGGGTAACGTGGACCCTTTCCCCCCATGTTATTGTATTTAAGTGATTAATAGGAGCAAGGATGTTTGAAACTGGTCCAGTATTCAGAGAGAACGCTGCAGACCTAAAGGAACAGGCTGTAATGTAATCATATCGGGCAATTGCGCACCGTCAATTCACGCCCACTAAAAGTGCTTGTTTTTGCCACTGATAGGCTCAGGTTGTTAGTATAAGGGCCTGACAACATTATGGAAATGACCAAACAGAGAAACCTTTCACTTCCTTCTTGTTACCGTTTCATGTGACTTGTTGCCGTAAGACGACGTGAGTGAGAGTTTGTTATGTTGGAGTACAGAAAGCGTAGTTTAGTGATTTTTAAAAGATTTTCAATGTCATAACTGAATATTTGGCTGATTTCGACAATGTTGATGCGATGTCAGACACCAGAACTAGACTTCTCCGAGTGAGACACACAACAACAAACGAACCGGATCAATTGAAAGGTAAAGAACATGTTTTTCTCTGTAGGGTCCCCTCCATAATGTTGTCAGACACTTATTATAACAATCTGAGCCGGTCAGTGGTAAAAACATTCACTGTATTGGATGTAAATTGACGTAGCGCAATTGTGCTTCATCGATATGATCACTTTGCAGCCCCTTTAGCAGCTGCAGTGTTCTCCCTCAATACTGGACCATTTTCAAAAATTGTTGTCCCCAGTTTCATCACAAAAACATTGGAAATAGGGTCCATGTTGAAAAAAGACAGATGTCACCCTTTAAATTCATTCTTTAGTAACACAAACAGCATCGCCCAATCTTTATATTCCTACTGTATGTTATTACTGGTTATACCGTCCACCCCTATGACAGAAACGTCTGCACCCATCCAGGCCTTGTCTAGAAGAATGATATGTTAGTGTGCCTGAATACAGAGGTTACAGTAGCAGACACAGATGTTTGTTCCGTTATTTATAGGATAAAATGTGTCTTTATATCAGACCATACAACACTTACAATATCTGTGACTGCAGTACATTGTGCACTTATTTGCACACACTGCATAGGGATAATTGTCAGTAACAGTGATGAGCTTTCCTCTCAGAATGCTGCCCTACATACATAATGTTACTGGATGAAAAGGATGGTATTAGAGATAAAGTGAAGTGAATTATCGCTGATATATGACAGAATTTATGTCAGAAACATATCAAAGACTATTTTAAGTGGAAAAACTCACATTGCACCTACAATCACGTAATTCCTGCCAGTGACAACCATTATTAATATGTATGGGAGGACTTAATAAAGGTTGCCCAAAAAGTAGATTTTACACAGCCACCGTTTTATAGTAATCCTTACCATGACAAATATCACACGCATATTAATACAGGAAATAATACCAAATGATCCAAATTAGAACACAAGATGCTTGTGTTCGTGACTGACAGAGAGGTGCTAAATTGAAAATAGGTAGAATCTGCTATTTTGTCAATTTAAAGCATGTACAGCTTACTATACTGCCATGAATGCATGTCAAACAGTGCATATCAAAAAGAAAAATATTATAATAAATTAAGAAATGTAATCATGTTCTGTTTAATTCATTAACTTGATAAAGCCACAGCAATGTGAGTCAGTCAAAGCATGTTTGAGCTTTCTCATATGTAGCAATCATTTATCAAATATTATAATACCAGAATTTTATTTCGATTTCATTTTGATTCATGCATAAATATGTTCTGCTTACATATTTGATTTATAAAGTCTCAGAGGTATTTGGTTGCACATAGATGAGATTAATCTGCCAACTTCAAGATTCAAAAATCTTTGTTTACATTATGAAAAAATAAAAGCTTCCGTTCACATAATCTAATCTATATATTTTTTCCAACTGGAGCCCGGTTTAAGAGACAAAAAAACTTTAAATTGAGCCATTACACCTCAATACAAACACATTGTATTTGTTCATTTTAAAGCAGATTAATATGTAATAGTTATGAAAGTTTTAAAACTTACATCCTAGCTCTGTCTCCAAAGTTATGCCTTTACCTCATCAGTGGTGTATCAACATGTATATATTGTTTTGCACATTAACACATTCATACCAATTCTAATATAATCAGTTTAATTAGTGGAGAGCATGCGGATGGAATGGAAATGAGGACATCACATAAAGCTCACTTTAATAAGGTGGTATATGGGAAAGTTGGACCGTTATAGAAACATGGCATGATGATTGTATGGTTAAATGGGACATGTATTGGTAGTGCATTTTTTTTGATCATGTCTTTGGTTGGAGCACCTTAAATGTAAAAAAAAATATTCTCTTGATATTAATATTTAATGTCCACTTTTACATGTTGCAGCATGTGAGCTTTGTTATTCTCTGAATGTTGTTTTAACTATGTTGTGATGACAGGCCAGCTGTCACAGAGTGATGTCTCTATGATGCCTGTAATGCTGTGTCATCCAGATTTCGGAGAGTGGTTGGCACTTCCAAATCTGGTGGCTTGGCCATTCCTGGTTTCTGACATTTAAAAAAAAATATGTACAGGCCTGTGTTAAGGCCTATAACTTAATAAGGGTTTTTATGGTTTTATTATTCATGATTTTATAATTATATGTGGTGTATTGTGTGATCAATATGGTCATTTAACACAATCATGCTGTTAAGAACTATAATAAAATGGTGATGTATTGATATATTCAAATAGTTGGCTGTATGCATTTAACTGCAGAGTTATTTGGTTGGGAGAGCCCCGTCTGACACATTTCGTGGGACACTGCTATCTGAGTGGGTTGAAGCTTGTTTAAGTTGCAGGGTTTGTGTGGTTCACCCATGAGGTGAGGACTGATTAACATTTGGGGCTAATTCATATTTGGCGGTATGAAGTCAGATAGATTACTGTATATTGTATATACTGTATTTCTCAAACAACTAAACTAACAAAAACATTAATATTGTACGATGAAGTAGACAGATTTATCATTGTGCATCACTGTTTACCATCTCTGGCTATGATTCTGCCCACAATAGTTGCTCTTGTACAACTTTAAATGTCAGTGAACACCAAACTAATGCTTGCACTTTGCTGCCTCTGAACATGCAGCTGTCATTACATTGTGTATTTTGAATAAAGTTGATTTTGCAAAATGTCACAGTTTTCTGTATTTCACTTTGTATTCATCTTTTAATTATCGATACCTGCTTCTCCTTTTCAAGCCTTTCCCAGCTCACACTGGTCAAGAAGCAGGGAACACCACTGTTTATCACCAGTCTGCTGCAGGGCTGACACCTATAGCAAGCAACCATTTACAACTACATGCAATTTATAGTCCACTAGCATGTTTTTGCACGGTGGTAGGACACTGAAGAAGCAAAGTGGACACATGCAGATCCACACAGAAAGGCCCCAGCAACTCCGTTTAAAGCCTTATATCAGAGCATGAGAGTTTTGACTGCTCCACAGTATGCTCATGTGCTTTGACCCTACGCATGTATGTGAGCAGCAACAAGTCTCAAACTCAGGAAGCCAAGCTGCGCTCTGATCTCATCATGGGGGGGACAACCTGGAACTGCTCCGCTGAGAGTCAGCCAGAGGTGACTTTGTGAATGTAGACTATGTATTTTCAGCGTTTGCAGACAAATGGGATTCATTTTGGTTCTGAACTGTAGCCCAGATTTAAAAAAAAACAGCCCTGTGCGCGACACCAAAATAGTGCAAGGCTGTCTATAACACTATTAAACAGTATTTTAAAAATCACAATAATTTCAAGCGCGAGGTATTTCAGGCTACAAAGGATCTACCAGCTGTGCGTTTGCATGTATTTGATTGGCTGGTTCAGTTCCGGTCAAAGCAGTGCATCGCAGTAACAGTTGAGCCTGGTTCAACTTTTTTTTTCTGGATGACCCTGCATTTTTTTTTTTTTGCCAGAGCTCGTTTGCACCCTCACTGCGTCAGCCCAGTGGTCTCGTTCATATACATGAAGGGGTCTAATATTTTACATGCAGTGCTGTTGTTCGAACACGGCTAAAAGAAAAAGTTTCATTGATAATCACATTAGTTTACAGATAATGTGTGTCAGTTCAGATGACTTAGGTGCTATAGTAAAATAGGCCACTGCGCAGACTGTCAATTTTAACCACAGAGTGGGACCATAAATGGAATGCACATTTCTTTTGTGGATTTTTTCAAGCAATTGAATTATGAGTTGTTGAAGTTAAGAATTCATTACTATCATTACTACCTCCGTAGATTGCGTAGTTTTCATCCAAAAAAACATATTCAAGACAAAACCATCAAAACAATTACTAAACAAAACCAACCAATGATTAAATTGCAAAGTGTGCATTCAATAAGGACTATGACACATGTCATGCACTTCAAGAATGTTGTATTGAATTATACAAAATGTTATTGTGACTATATAAAGCCAGTGAAACAGCAAGTAGAGTAGAGGAAGAATAAGACAATGTGTAAGATACCTAATAAGTGTATTTAAACTTTCTAGTTGCAATTACACTACGCGCATACACACACACACCCCAACCCATAGACTTTGCAATCTTTTTTAACATTTTTGTACTTAAACCTTTTCGACATCAAGCCAACGTCTGGCCAACATCAAGCAAATCATAGCAGTTTCCAACTAAAATCCAACTCCAAGCCATGAGACTATATAAGGCTGCACAACAAACTGTGAGGCTGAAAGCCTCCAACACAAATTCTCCCCCAAGAGGCCGGCTGCATATTCTGTACAGGTGTGTACTGCAGACCTGCTCTTAACTTTAGAGAGGACTTACCTTTTAATGGTCCCTGTTCCCCACCGACGGAACGATGGACGGAGAGACATAAAAACAGGATCACAAACCGCGTGGGACAAAACAGACAGGAAAAAGAGAGGAATGGGACGCAAAGACAAGAACGGAGGGAAGAACAAGAGAGTAAGAGGCATTCAGCAACATTTACAAAGCAACAAAAATATGAAGAATTGATGGGAAATTGATGAGGTGTAAGAAATGAAGAAAGGGTGAGGAAAAATAGGAAGGACAGATGAAAAGGAGAGGTAGAGAGAGGCCCGCCCCACTTGTCCTCCTCCACTCAGGATGCTTTCTGAAATCTGCTCACTCACCGGCTGGTGCAAAGAGAAAGAGAGAGATATGGAGAGTGGGGGGGGCAGGTTGAAGTAAGGGGTGAGAAGAAGGTTAATCAGAGTGGGAGGTGAAAGTGGTGGGAAGATGAAGGTATGGAGAGAGAGAGACGATACGGGCTGAGAGCTGAGTGTCTCTCAGTAGCTGTGCTCGGACCGGCTCAGCTGTGTGGCTTCACTGCAGCATTTCGCTGCCCTGGCCGTCCCAGAAACAGATCCTCCGCTCTCCCCCTCCCTCCGCCTCTCATCTCACCTCCTTCCGTTGCCTCCTGTCATCTCTCCTCCCCTTGCTCCTGTCGCCCCCCCACCCCCTTTCTCTCCTTCTCCCCTGTCCACTCTTCCCATCTTTCCTCCCCTTGAACTTCTCTTTCCTCTTACCCCTCCTGATCCCTAACACTCTCCTCTCCTCTCATCAGTGTAATGTCCTCTTTTGCTCCGCCTCCGTTCTATACACAGCATCCAAGGTCACCCTGTCCAGAGGCAGGTGTGTGTGTTTGTGCGTGCATGTGTGCTCGCATGTGACTATGTCTTGGTGTGCATATGCAAAGACACATGTATCACTGTATGTTTGCATTCCATTCCCCCTCTCCTCATATATGCGTGTGTATTTATGTATTTGCCTCTAGCATCCATTGACGTATTTATCTACAAGGAGCTTGCTGCATCATGGTATGTATCTCACTCATCTATCATTACACCCCCCCCCCCCCCTACTAAAACCTGGAAATGACAATACCCGACACGTGCACGTGCGTGTTATGGTCAAGCATCCAAGCAAAATGCAGGAAATGTTAACTGACTAACTACAGATAAATATGGTGCAACCGCAGCCACACTAGAGGAAAAATAACAATAAAGAAAACATCAGAATAAAAACTATAGCTCAAAGGTTTATGTTTAAGCTAAGATAGGATTCAAGCATCTATATACTTGTGGAGGTTTGTATCAGCAATAGAAGAAAAAAATATTTGTAAATGTCCTCGCATCTTGTTATTCTGTTCCTGTAGCCTGACAAGCAGCACGAAGTGACGATGCAGTGGGTGTGCTGAGTCGGGGGTGATTGTGGTTACTTTGAGTATGACTAATCGGATGCATGAATAATTTTCTGTGATATGTGGCTGGACCAAGGGTTCAATTATGTTCCACAGTAAAGTAGGTGGTGGTGGTGGTGGGGTTGTACATGGAGTGCTAGCAGTTAACAGATGGGGAACAGTCCCCTTTGCCATGCCTGTGCAAGTCTACAGTGTGTCAAAAGGCAGCTCACCCACTAAGGTCCAGCAAGGTATTTGTACACTTCAATCGTTTTAGCAGTTACAACAATAAAAGTGTCCTGCAAAAGCAAAGACAGATAGATCCCCTTGCTTGCTAATATTAGGTTTTACTTGTCCACGTTTGAGTGAAATGGGAAGTTGTATTCGGTATATAAAAAATGGGCCACTGACGTTGGTGATTACTGTTGATGCGTCGCTCAATGTGCGAGGAAGTCATGAATCTTGGGAAGGAGGTCAGACTGCACATTAAAGTTGTGGACTTTGGTGATCCTTCACTGCCGCCGTGTTGTGTTGAAGGCTAAACTAGATTGTGTACTGTCCTGGTGGTTCCATGTGATTGACATGTTACTGCACCTATGTGCCTTGCAGGCAAAGGCATATCAACTGAGACCAGTTTCTGAAGTTAGTCTGTGACAATCTGATTGAAAGCCAAAGAACATACGTCAAGGCCAGGTCTTTACAGTACAGTCACGTTTGCTGATTGTAAAGGTTTCAAGGACAGACGACGGAGGATAGGCTGAGCTCTGGTCCACAGGCCTCAAAGGATGCTGTCTGGGCCTTTTGCCCAAATTGGCAGTTGCTGGTTTGTAGTCAAATGTACCAAGCAAATCATTTCAAAAAACATCTACAAAAAACCCTGTGTCATGCAAATAGTAAAGTCTAAATGTATTAAAATACACAGGCCCGTGCTTGTGTACATGCAGTATACTGCATATGTAGTGCCTTAGAACAGTAATGCAATACCGAAAGGTTTCTATGGTGTTACTGTTGTGTTTTCATTTCAAAACAAGCCCTTCCAAATACGTACAGTCCTACTGTAGAACTGAAGAGGGAACAAGAAAGAGATAAAACATGACATCTTGCCAATGTATTAGCCTGCCAAATCGAGAGTTTAGTAGGAGCATGAAATGTGAGACGCATGAAAGTGGAGACAGGCGTAAAGGATGCAGTGAAGACGGAGGTATGTGGTCTATGGGTGAAGCACCCAGCACGTGTCCGACTCTGAGACCCTCTTGAGTAAGGCTGAGTCAGCCTTACCGCGCTGGGTGCATGTGTGTGTATGTGCGTGCATGTGGCAGCAGTTATCGCCCCCTGCCTCCCCCTCGCCATTCCACTGTATCCCCTCCTTCCCTCTCTCTCACTCTCTCTTCGTCTCTACCGCTGCAGTACCTCTCCTGCTCACTCCTTCCTGCGCTGGCCGGGGAGACACGCGCTTTCTGCTTTTCCTGCCTGGCTGCTGGCTCTGCTCCAGCATCCCACCGTGCCTCTCTCGTGCGCTCTCCTCCCCACCTCCAGCCTATGTCTCCTCCTGTGGGTTTTACCAGCCAGCCTGCTTCCCTGGCTGCTGCTGCTGCTGCTGTTGGAGCTGTCTCACACCACACTGCTGCGCCGCTACCTCTCTGCATTGCTTCTCCTCGCTGCTTTACGCCTCACACTCTCCCTCGCTGGATAATCAACTGCTGAGTGTGAAAGAGACAGCGACAGAGGACGTGAAGGGAGGGAGAGAGACAGAGAGCCTGCACTCTTCATTCAACTGCTGCTGCATTCTTCTCCTTCAGTTTGCCTCTGCTTCTCTGGCCTGCTTGGAGTGAAGGAATTTATCCTTCTCTCTTTGCGCTTCCTCCCTCTGTTCATTCCTGGGACAGAGTGCAGAGGAGGAGAGAAGAGGGAGGGACCTGAGAGCAGGACTTCAGCTGCACAGCTCAGTGTCCCGCCTTGCTCCAGAGACACATGAGACAAACACACACAAACACACAAACACATTTGCATAGATTGGACACAGTTCAGGCCGACCAGACTGGCAGACGGGGGACAGATTGACAAAGGCACACGTTCTGTACACACACGTAGACAGACACGAAAAAACAGACAGACGGACAGACAAGTGGTGTCATGGCGTCAGTGGACAGCACCGGTTCAATTGTCTCTGGTCGGCTGAGATCAGGGGATCTGCTTCACACTGGTCTGGCAGTTGCACTGCTGCTCGGTGAGTTATACTTCTCTCTGTACCTTCAGCTGCCCTGTCATTCCTCACTCTTCCACTATATCGCAACATTACACAACAACATTGCACTTCTTTCCTCTGTATAGCATTTTCACATGCCTCATGTTGTCTTTACATTCCTCTTGTTTTTATGCCCTCTTCCCCTTCCTTTCTTTTGCTTATTTTTGTATGCGGCTCTAGGTGGGTGGTTCACAGCTTTCACAGTAAATCTTTACTCTTTTTTTTGTCATTACTCCACGCCAACATCTGCTGTTCTATCACGTCTGCTTTGGCTCCCCTGTCTCATCATTCTCGTTCCACATCTTAAGGCTAAAATGCATGGTGATGTCACAGGTGATGTTTACTTGTTGCTGTGCTGAGGGCATCAAGGTCAATATTTAACATCCAACTCTTGCCCGTTCTGAATTGGACTTGCAGTCTGGACTTGAGCTGAATGAGTGACTCACTAGATGCCTCTTCATGCCTGTATTTAATAATTTTTCAGGAGGGAAATTGATAAAATGCAAAGAAATAAAAATGTAGAAAAACATATGTACTCTAAGAGTACATAAAAGCATTTGTTATAGCTACAGTTATAACTTGTGTGTGTGTTATGGGGGGGAGGGGGGTTGTAGTATCACTGGTAGTGACGTAGTGGTGCGGTGCAGTGGTGATTTGTGCTTCTGCTCATACACTCTGCCTCCACATCGCCAAATGTACTGCTCTCTCTCAGTTGTTTTGAAACTTAACACAGTTGAGCCTTAAGACACAAAAACAAGACCAAGGAGTTTACGTTAAGTACTTCATTTAAGTGCTACCCTTAGGTAAGGTACACCAAATTATGATATTTCATATTATCTTGATCTTAATTAAAGTCCACTCTACACCCAAAAATCTCATGCAGGAATATTTTCACAGCTAGCAGCTGTTTTTGCTCTTGTAATTGTTTGTTTTCACATTCATTCTTTCTTTTGGGGATGTTTTAAGTACATGGTCCACAAATATATTGCTGTTACTGATTGTTACTGAATTCACACAGTTTATGTTAAAAAAAAAAGTATTGCATTTCAGTCAAGATTAGTCTTACTTGAGCATTTGTCACAATGGCCCCAGTAAAACCAATCTGGCGTCAGCTTATCACACACTAAATGCTTGTACAAGGTCACTAGATGAGAAGATTAAAAGGTAGAACATTTGTGACGAACAAATGAAATATGAGAAAAGCTAACAACTAAATAATTCTGTAAAAAACAGGAAAAGAAATACAGGTTATGGTCATTGGGTCATACAAAAGTGTTGAAAAGAGCTAAATCCAACACCATCTTGTCATTGCACCATCATTAACACCATATTGTCTCGCCACAACACGTGACATTTTACCTGTAACATTGTGACATAATGCTCTATTAAGGATGAGTGAGGATGAATGAAAATCACACTCACTGATAACTACATGTGACCCATTTGGACTCCAACGGAGAACACTGCAACAAGGGAGTTCTCTTCCGCACTGTGACTCACATCAACAAGATAGCTGTATTACTTTGAGTACATTATACAGTAGCCCGCATTCCAGATTTTAGAATCTTTAGAGAGAGAGATTTTATTTGGCAAAGTTATCAAAATAACTCAGTAATCCTGCTTTATCACGCAGGCAACAAAACATGTGTTTTTAGCACTTTGTTGTCTTTGGTTGTATGGTTTATTATAGCGTTGGATGCTAGTCTGTATATTTAGTTGTGTTGCTTCACCTTTGGGCTATTTGCTGTTGTAATTAGTAGGTCACCTTCTTTTATTCTGTTCTTAATTGCTACGAGATCTGGTAAATCCGATGCAGTTGAGGCACGATAAGACAATCTTATTTCAACAAAAAAAAAAAAAAGGAACCAGTAGAACTGTTACCAGAGAGTTAAACGGTGTACAACCCTGTATAGCAGCATGAAACTTACATCTTGCAGACCAAATAAGGGATGGAAGGTAAAAAAAGCAACAAATTTAACAATCTCTGGTGTGCTGAAAGTGTTTTAGAGGAAAACACTCCTATATAGATCTCTATATCTGAAATGTTTGATCTAAAAACAAACCAGGTCCCACTGTGGTCCCTTCCCTATCATCAATCGATCACCATCATTCCCTCATGTTCTGTTGTTGACCTTCCTAAGACCTTGAACCAAACTCATTTTGTGGAAGCCGTCTTTGGGTGTCAATCCAATAACAATTCACAGGTTCTGATTTGTTAAGGTGCTGTCTTTCCATTCTTTGCAGTTCTTCAGTTTGTGATATCATGATGAATCAAATTTACCCCTGCTGCAATTGCCATCTTATTTGTGGCAGTGTTGTCTATCTCCATTCTCCAACATGACACTACTTAAAATCACTATCTATATTCTGCAATTTTCTAGAATATACAGCATATGGTTATGCATCCTTATATGGCCATTACACATCTGTTGAAATGTCATGCTTGTATAAAACCAACCGTTTCACATTATTCATTTCCTTTGGAATTACATTCCTTTTCCAAAACATTGCAGCAATCTCTTTCAACAGAACCATTGGAAACAGAAATAAAGCCGGGGAAAATACAAATGAAACAAAACTCCAATCAAAGCCAGATGTGGAATAAAGAGAAAATAATGTATATATTCAAATATTTCTAAAAGTCCTGTCCTTTAAACTACTCAACAACTCTTTTGATATCATGGCCAGAGATATGTGAGAAGCTGGAATCAACAGGCAATGTGTTGCTTTAGCAAACTTCACAATAGAAATAGAAGGTTAGTCTTGTGTTAGCACTGTTGGAATATCAGCTTAATAAATTACAGTTCAAACCTCTTCGATCTGACCACTGAGTAGTTTGAAGAGGGCCCAAAAAAGCTTTTCTGGGATTGAAAACAAATTCAACATCCAAGTTCCAACAGGATTCTGCCCTGGCGTGCAACACTATGGGGGGTTTGAGTAAATGGATGTTTCAATCATTTCATTCTTCTTCTTTTGGGGACAAAACTATTTCAGATGTAAATACATCTGGTGTCTGAATTATACACAAAAAAAATTCTGTACAATATGTAGCCTCTAGCTGACCTAGGTTAAATCACCCATTGACCTTAGCCATCATCGTAACAATTCCCCCCCCCAAAACAGAGGCCACTGATATTACAAGCCCTCACTATAACGGACAAGCCCTCAGAGCCCGGATTACTTAAAGGACCAAACGCACTCCTCTAAAAACAAAGATTCCAAGACGTTCAAAGATATGAGAACACACAAAACAACTATCGCTTCAACCCACCGACATTATACCCCTTTCATCCTCTTCACTCTAAAGTGCCATTAACATACGGGATTATGCAACACATTTAGTTGTAGAGAATACACAACAAACAGCAGAAAGAGCAATGAGGCAAACAGATTCAGTGCAGCTCCGGTTATAGCACAGCAGTCGGTATCGGTAGTTGGCGTGTAAATGTGATAATTGTACCGCATGTTGTTGCTTGTTTGCGTGGCTATCATACTACATATATGTAGTATGATACAGACACACACTTATAAGTGTGTGTCTGTATGTGCAGTGTAAACGTGACCCAGCCTTGGACCGCTGTTGATTTAGTTACTTAGCTGCTGTTGTAATTCTCTGCCCTGCTGTCACTTTACTCACCTTGAAGAGGACGTCTCACTACCTCTCCATCCCCCCATGACCCCTTCCATCACTTCCCACCCACTGCACCACCTCCATTACCCCTGCTCCGCCATTCGTCTCTCTCCCCCTTTCCTGTTCACTCCCTTCCTTCTCTCTGAACCCTTCCCATCACTTGTCCCTCCCTCTTTTTCTCAGAGAGGTAATAGTGTCCTCGGTCGGCTCTCTATGGGTTCACTAGGATACACATTACCCCTTTAATCTGTGGCCTACTTAAAAAAAAAAGAAGAAAAAAAACTCACCTTCACAGTCAGCCAAGGACACACACGCTTGCAGTCAGTTGCCTTTCCTCCCATAAGTGATTTAGATATTGATGTTTCCCAAATGGGACAAGAGATATTTGATAGTGGAGCTAAAAATATCATACATTCCATTACTCATGTACACTCAAGTGCATGCGTTGATACCGTAGGAACGGACCACACATGTACCACACACAGGCACAACATAACTGGTGTTGTACAGTGTGTGCATCTATGGGTGTTTGTCAGGACAAGCTGAAAATATTTGAGAAGAAGAGGAAGGGGGCGGAGGGAAAGAGGATAGTAGAGAGCAGAGGTGTAGAAGGAGGGAGGTGTGAAATCTATTTCCAGGCACGAGGGGGGACACTGCTCAGATATGTAAAAGATCAGCGTGCTTTCACAAAGCATGAGCCATTTAGGAGGGAGATTCTCCCTTGTTTTCTCCCCTGTTTTCCTTTGCACCATTATTTTCTCTGGGGCACTTGTTTACAAACCTTGCTCCATGGCGCTGTGCCAGTACTTATTGATAGAAGATACAATATTATTAAATAATCCACTTAACGGTGATAAAGACAAGCAGCCAGCAACATAAAACTTTTTGAAACCTTTCAGCTGGTATCGATGACATAAACAAAACCACACAAACCATACACAGACCGGCTCCTCACATCTCTCCTCTATTTATTTAGTTGTAGCATCCCTGAGGAAAACGTTCTGAGAGCAAGTAAGACGGAAATATTGAGGGGAAAAAAAAAGAGAGCGAGAGCAAAAGTGCCCAGTGCTGCGAAAAAAAGAATCGTAAGAGCCCATTGAAAGAGAGCAAAACCAGAAACGGAAGAGAACAAGGAGAACCCAAGTGGCCTGAGTTGCTGCTGAAAGTAAAGGAGATGAGTCAAGTCTACAGAGGAGAGGTAAAAATATCGGATGTTAGAAGACAAGAGGAAAGAGTTGGGACTGAGAAGAAGAAAAAGCTAATTCATAAAACTGAAAGTACAACCAAACCATATAGACTGAAATACCTTTAGTGCATAATTATGTATTTTTAATGCAACATTTCAAGATTTAAAACTGTATTGCCACATGAACCTTACAGGCACCAGAAAGTTGTCTTTCTGAGTCTGTACTCATGTGCACAAATGTATCCAGTTTGTTTTTCTCATGATACTTTACAGACCAGACAGTTATTGAAAAGTTGAGTTAAATTCATGCACAGCACTGAAATCTGGTGTCTGTTCACCACTTATGATCATTTCCCCGTTGATTACCAAATCCTCATGTACCGAATTAGCAATTTATTTGGTGATCAAGTCGGGGTTGGCTGCATTCACATATTTGCTTTTACAGCCTTGTCGCATTCGGTTCAGTACCACTGGGCCTAAAGGATGCGAGACAGAGAAAAGACAAAGGAGAAAGAAATAGAAATAGGGGGAACACTAATGAGACATCCACTTGCTTACTATATCATCCTCACCCATTAACTAATCAAGACTTTTATGTTGATTGCGAAGAACACTAGGCCCGCTACACACTGCATTACATTAGAAATAACTAATGACCGGTTCATTCTTTCCCAGCTGCGAGAGTGACACTGGTATTGTTTTCACCTTGTGAGTCTGTGTGTGAGTCATCATGGCAAAATGTGGTCCTGGAGACACATACTGTAGCAGGAATAGGTGTATAGTCGAGATCAAAATGAAGGCCAAGTTTGAAGATGGGTGTGGTCTGAGTAAGGGTGTTTGAAGTAGGGGGGTAGCAAGCAATTTACGCCCCTGGCCAGATTTGGTGCCGCGACTGGTGGGATTTCAAAATTCTCTCTAGTCTCTCGTCAGCCAAGTGTGTTTGATTTTTTGCTCTGTTGTCTGGTCCTTGTGTTGTGATACTGGAAGGGTTTGTTTTTATTCTATATACATTGTTACCATCCACAGTTCCACTTGGTATTGGGCAACTTAATCACAGTGAATTGCCTATCGCAGAATGGCAGTGCCAAAAAATGGCTATTTATCTCAACTTCAAAAGTGAGCACCCCAAATGATTACAGTGTGTCCAGAGCATTTAACACCAAATGTGCTAAAGTACACAGGGATTCCATCCAAAAATGACTCGAGGGATTCTGCTGTAATGAGGTTTTGTTATCACTGATGTCTTAACAGAGCTGCAAAAACCTGCGGTGCGAAATTCTTCTATAGATGGCAAGTTTCTCACTAACACATAGGCATACATGTACTTCAACACTGTTTGCACCATGTCCAAGTGCAATGTGAGCCTGAGCAGGTCAGTGCGTAGAAGAGCGTTTATAAATAGGCCCCCTGAGTGTGTGGGAGCACAATCTGAGAATTACACCAGCTGTCACTGGAAAAATAAAAAGAAGAAAAAACATGCCCAGCCCGGCAAGACCCAAATATCCAAACGAGATGAGCTGTCTCTTTTAGAAATGAAAGAGTTGACCGTGTGTTTTCTGATTTGCACAACAATGTCACATGACACCAATAATATTTTGTAATATTTTGTTTTGACTTGGGAGCATTTCTGTCACGCTGTCAGTTACCCACACAAGTCTTACACACACAAACGGTAGCAGTGAATGCACCGACAGAAATGAATAAGGGAGCAAAAATAAATAGCACAGCAATATATATAAGTATATTTTCAAAATAATTCACAAATGCGCAACGTATTTTAAACTCTGATCACATTAACCATCAGAGGACAATTATAAACTCATTCAGATCCGGGGTTCATAGTCTAAAAATCCTTCTAAATTCCGGTGACATTCTGTCCTCAGCAACATGTTTTCCACATTCCCCCTCTTGCTTGACTCCTCTCTATAATCGCTGGCACTGTGTGATAATTACTACGGTGCGTTACATAAAGCCAGGGGGAGGCCGGGGGAAGTCAACTGCTCTCATAGAACTGTTGTTTGGCTTGGACTGAGAGGCTTTACTGGAAACAGGGTAGCAGACTAGGGCACTATATTTTGACTTAATGACTTATACTATTGATAATACTAAGATTGAGAAACTTAACTGGTGCCATCAGCATCAGAGCCGACTCAAGTGAAGATCTTAAAAGCAACGACCGTCAGCTGTCAATTTGCACATTTTACTTTATTTTGGAAGGCTGCAGTATTGATTATGGCTACACCATCAGTCATGAATTGAGTTTGAGTCCAGACTAACAAAGCTGTACTTACTGTAATATTAGCTACTTAACTTTGTAATGCCATTACTCATCTGTTGCACTCATCTTTTGCAGTAAAAGCCCAGCCAAGTAAGCCGGCATATAACATGACTTAATGTTGCCTGTAATTTATGCTCTAAAACATGGTTTGAAAGCAAAGTAACCTGAACTATAATCGACCCAACTTCGAACTAGAATGCGTTGTTTTTGATGCACACTGTATATGTGCCATACTATATTTTCTTTTTGTACTATCTTTTATATCTGTGTTTTTTACGTTGTTTTTTTTTCTCAGTCTTTTCCTTTCTCCCTTGGTTTCAGGTGTATGGAGTGTTGTTGGACTGGAGGTCTCGGTAGGTAAAGTGCCTCACCTTGAAGCACTTAATGGCTCCACGGTCCTGCTGCCCTGCACCTACTCCTCCTGCATTGGCATCAATAAACTCTACTTCAACTGGCATTATAATGACAATGGAACCATGCAAATGGTACCGTACACACACACACACACACACACACACACACACACACACACACTCATGTGCAAGCATAAGCAACTTGGACATACTGTACAAATAAAACACAAAAAACGGCCTTTATTGACCTTTTCTGTGTTGCATGCCTTGGGCTCTTTACATTAACACATGCTAATGTAGATCTATGTGCTTATAGAAATTGATCTGACTACCCATCTCTGTGTATGTGTGTGTGTGTGTGTGTGTGTGTGCGTGTAGTTATGTGAAGCGGTGATTCCCATGGAAGGCGTGGAGCCCAAGGTCAGTGTGTACCATGAGCGTGTGGAGTTTGTTGGCTCCTCAAAGACCAACAACATCTCCATCCTGCTGTGGAACATCACCTTCGAAGATGAGGGAAAGTACATCTGTTTCGCCAGGAACCCAAAAGAGAAGTACCGCAACCACAGCGCTGTCTACACTCTTATAGTGGTGGACCAACGTATGTGACACATGAGTGCATGCAGTTGCACGCACTTGGCACATAAAAAAACACCTAGCTTTAGATTACACCTGCTTACAAGTGCTTGTACCTTAATAAGACAGATACAAATGCACAGTGTCTCCCTGTTGGTGTCTCATCTCACTCTTTCTCCCTCACAATGTCTTTCCCTCTCTCCCTCTTTCCAGTGAAGGAGGTTGAAAATACTTTGACAGTCATCATTGTCTCAGTGCTGGGTGGAGTCATTGGCTTAGCTATCTTTGGCATGGTGATAAAGGGCTTGGTTGTTCAGTTTCTGCTGAAGGATGATGAGAAGAAGTGAGTAGGTCACTGACTATGGTAATAACACAGAATGAAAATACAGACTATAGTTGACAGTTGACAGTAATATGCTTCTTATCAAACATATGACTGACTGTACTTGCTATATGGATGTTTTAGTCAATTGCTCTATTACCTTTTTCATTAGAAAAACAAATTTAATAAAAGAAAATGCCCAGATAATGCCCGAAAAAGCCCCGTTCACATTTTGTTAGGATGTGTACAAATAAAATAATGAATTAGTTATAACATGACCTTCAGTAATGTCACTTAAGATTAAATGATGCATTTACTAGAGTTGTATTTGGATTAAGGAAATTAGAAATGCAGTTTAATTTCTAATCAAAACTTTCATCTTGACTAGGTTAATATGAGAGACTATTGTTGTCCATGTTAACGGGACATTTTCTACCACTTAGCAATAAATGTGTAACTCACACATATCATGCAGACATAACATCAACATAATATGTGGCTACTCAGTGTGACTGCAGCTTATAAACACCAGAGAGGCCGGCCTATCTGGTCTGAAAATGAAAGACAAGTGGCTTCTCTACTTCACCTTATCACATCTATCACAATTGTTGTGTCAGTAGTGAGTTGCAAACAAGACATCTATGTATGAAATATGATACCCTCATGTACACAAAATGTTGCACAAGTGGCGCGAGACATTAAGTTCTCGGATTTTAAGTTCTCTTTAGCTTTCAATTAACTTCCTTGATATGTTTTTCAGTAAAATCCTAATTACATATTTCCAATTTGTGTCGAACACAAGATTATTATTCGGGTCTGTGAGGGTAAGGCGATGTAAAAATCCCTGCAGTATATGTCGCCTTTATCACTTGTGTTTCTTCCCTCTGTGGGTGTTCATCTTAACCTTTTGGTTTCACTGTCCCCTGCAGCAAAGAGTGCCTGGTGAGCTCAGGGAATGACAACACAGAAAATGGAGTTACAGGAGCCAAAGCAGACAACAAAGGGACACCAAAGACACCAAAGGCATGAGTAAAATGCAAAGTACGTCCGTATGTTTGTATATATGTTAGACAAATGTACAAGCTCAGAGAAAGCGATGTTACCAGTGGACTGTTTTATCTTACTAGCGGCTAATACAACATGTCAATTTCTATTTTAAATCATGCTTGAGATTTGGAAAGTGTGGAATGTACATAGGCCTGGATCACTCTCTCAGCTACACGGCAGCCCATTTGTTACACAGTGTGCAGCCTCTGTTATCGACTTCTGCTCTCCCAAAACCTAACACTTTCTCAACAGTATAGCCTCAAGTAAACTGTCTCTGCTCCCAAATACACTTGCTGTTCTCATACCCTCTTTACCTCATCTTAGAGGAATAACTTTGCACCGAGCAGATCCTCAGCTGTTTCAATAATCAACTGCCACTCCAAAATACAGTTAACTAGTCTCAGTTGACAAGCCACCAGAATGTTTGATTCTTCCATCTACAACTCAAAGTCAAACTTGGACCCAAACAGACCTGACCAGTGGGAGCAAACACACCTCGATGCCATGATGAATTGCCATAATCTACATATGTACTGCCATGATGTCAACTGAAACAGCACAGAATACCCAAAACCAGAGGATTCTTCAACCAGAGTTTTGTTCATAAACGTAAGCCATTTTTCACTCACAAAATAAATAGAATTTGCTGGTTAAAACTGGTAAATATACATATTTTTAACACTGCTTGTAAAATGGCATTTTAACATTTAAGGACCAGGTACCAATATTGTAGTATGCTACTGACTGAACATGTACTGTTGTTGAGATTAACAAATCCTACGTTGGTTTGCGAGAGTGTTTTCGAGGCATTTCTTTGCCCCTGACCTTTTATTCCTGATCTAACCCTAAATACTGCCATTGCCAGCCGGAATTTCAACTTGCATGTTTACAGCAGGGTCCAGGTTTGACACACTGTTGGGGGTGTTTGGTTCATTAAGGCCAACAGTAGATTTTGATCAGCTACTTCATAGCTAAGGCTGACAACTGGGCTTTCTTAGGTGACTGAAGGATCCAGTTATGCACAGGTTTTTTTTTTGTCTTGCTTTAGATGAAACACAGGTGCCTGTTCTGCTTCTGCTCCCTCTGCTGGTGGGAACATAAAAAATAGAAAACGTATTATAAAAAAACAAAAACAACCCTAACCTTCATCCAAGACAATCCCTAGATGACCTAGCTCCCTAAAGAAACGAATGAAATGAATCATGCTGCTTCTGACTAATAACCAATGCATTTTTAGCATGTGCACATTTTATATAACTTCATATAAGTATATGTTGTCTAGGACCACAGTACAGTAACATTTCTGTGTGTCTCTGTATGGTCCCATTTAACTCTTCACATCGCCTTGAATCAACTGAAGCTCTGTCAATGCTTGATAAACACCTCCCCACACTGCTCCAACTTGTCTTACCCTTTAAACCAGGTCAGGGTGATGGAAAGGTGAGTCTTCTTTTAGAGCGATGGCCTGCAAGTATTTGTGGGAAAGAAAGGGTGACAGGCATTTTACACTTATTCAAAAGCGAGCGTGTGAATCACACAATCGAACAACTCTGCTAGACGTTTTAAGAAATTGGCACTTTGCCCAGTGGCATATCAGCAGGATATACTGTAAGTGGGGAGAGCCAACGTAATGCAATTCTCCGGATACCAATTCACTTCCAGATTTCTGCGCCTGTATGCAGACTCTAACTGGCTACCTTCCAATACAAACTTGCTCTGAGAACCATAAGAAAACACTTTAGTCTATTGATACTGCCTCAGCAACGCAGGTGGCACAGCATTGGGACAGATCAGTGAAAAAGAATGTAAAGATTGTCAGGGAATAGATGTTTAATATTGTCCAAAAATAGTATATTTTAAGTCATTCTGAACATAATATTGAATATATTAATGTTCAAATGAATGTGGGAATATTCTTATAGACCAGTGGTTCATTTTTCTTTGCCAACTGTCTTATTTCATGTGACTCAACAATCAGCCGATATTTTCAGTGTTTTGCTCAAAGTTCAGTTTAGCCAACAACTACTTGCTGTGACTGTATGAATTTTGTGCATTGAAGATGCTGGATGCTGTGTTGGGTTTCTAAATAGTATTGGTGACTTAGCCCTAAAAAGTACAGATCAACAAGTGATCAAGGGTGTGGAGGGAGCTGGGAGTAAATAAGCTAAATGAAAGAAAAGATGAATATGAATTTAGAACATGCTCAAACTAAATAGCTTGTAACCGGAAAATGTAGGGGGGGGGGGGGGGGA